GCTTCTTTCGTAAGAGTAAATTCCTAAACATTTCATTTTTTTGGTTGCTAGTGTGAAGAGTGTGGCTTCTCTTATTTCTCTCTCTGTGATTTTGTTGCTAGTGTATAGGAATTCTATTGATTTTTGAGTATTGATTTTGTATCCAGCCACATTGCTGAATTTATTTATTATATCCAGGAGTCTTTCAATGGAGTTTAGGGGGTCATGTATGTAAAGTATCATATCACCTGCAAATAATGATTATTTAACTTCTTCTTTTCCTTTCTTTACTCCTTTTTTTCTCTCTCTTATCTAATTTCTTGGCTAGTATTTCCAGTACTATATTAAATAGGAGCGGTGATAAGGGACATCCTTGTCTTGTGCCTGATTTTATACTAAAGACCTTCAATTTTTGGCCATTTAGTATGATATAGCTGTTGATTTTTCATAGACAGCCTTTATTATATTCAGATAAAGACCATCTATTCCAATTTTTTGCAAGGTTCTTATCATAAATGAATGTTGGACTTATCAAAAGCTTTTTCTGCATCTATAGAAATGATCATATGATTCTTACTTTTGGCTTTATTGATATGGTGGATTACATTTATTGATTTACATATGTTGAACCATCCCTGCATGCCTGGCATGAATCCCGCTTAGTCATGATGTATAATTTTCTTGATAATTTGCTACATCCTATTTGCCAATATTTTATTGAGGATATTTGCATCTGTGTTCATTAAGTAGATTGGTCTGTACTTCTCTTTTTCAGTTGGGTCTTTCTCAGGTTTTGGTTGTAGAGTAATATTTGCTTCTAGGAATGATTTATGAAGTATTGCTTTCTTTTCAATTTCATTGAAGAGTTTGAGGAGTGTCGGCATTAGGTCTTCTTTGTATTTCTTGTAGAATTCTGCAGTGAATCCATCTGGGCCTGGGCTCTTCTTTGTAGGTAAGGACTTAATTACATTTTCAATTCCATGAATAAAAATTGGGTTATTCAGAAGTTTTACATCTTCTTGATCTAGCTTTGGCACTTCATATGCTTCTAGGAATCTGTCTATTTCTTCTGTGCTATCAAACCTTTGAGAGTAGAGGTTTTCAAAATAGGTGTTGATGATCTTCTGTATTTCTATAGGGTCTGTAGTGATTTCACCTTTTTCATTCCTTATTTCATGAATTTGAGCTTTTTCTTCCCTTTTCTAAATAAGGTTGGCTAGGAGCTTATCAATTTTATTTATTCTTTCAAAGAACCAACTCTTTGATTCATTGATTTTGTAGATTGTTTCCTTAGTCTCTATTGCATTGAGTCTCTATCTTTTAACTAGTGAAAGTCACCATTCATCCAAAAGAGTGGTCTTTATTTTGTTTACTTCGGTTAGCAGATTTTCAATTATTATCACTGCAAAGTAACATTTGTTTGTTGCTATTGTTACCTACATAATATCTAAAATAAACTGATTCTTTAAAACTGAATGGCATTTTGAGGTAATTGTGTGTTAGTTTGTTTATTCATTCATTTTTTTCATATACTTTTGAAATTTAATACCTGAACAGCAGAAATTATTTGGCCTTAGCATTAAAAACTACATAGTGCTGCCCCTGTAGAGTAGATGAGGAAACCTCGATGAAACCACTGGTTGGAAGAGCTAATAATTCGACCACTTGAGAGGCTGAGACAGGAGGTCTGCTGTAAATTCAAGGTCAGCTGGACTACATATTGAGTTCTAGACCAGTCTGAACTACATAGCAAGACTTTGTCTCAAAAAAGCAAGTACAAAAACAAACAAAACCAAAAAAGACCAAGAGTAAAAAAATGGAATTAACACTCTAAAGGAGGTCAGCTGAATCTAGAGCCCTACTTCACCTTGCTGATTTGCTTTCATTTCATATTCCAAATTTAAATGTAGTCTGGAAGATCCTTTATAAGTCCCATGAATGAACAGAGTTCATTCAGCTTTAGAAAAGAGCTTTTAGGGACTAGTTATCTTCCATTGATGCAAATTGGTTGCCTTTTTAAATGTTAAAGTTTTAATTTATTTATGCAATCTCCCATCTCAGTTGCCTTTAATTGTACTTGAAGACAAATGAAGAATGAATAATATTAAAGTTCAATACTCAATGTCATCTGTTTCCACTTAAAACAGTTGGATTTCTTTATTCAATGTAAAAATGAAACAAAATAAAACCCAGCCAGCTCTTATCTTGACTTCTTTCAGGTGTTGTTCTTTCGTAGGGGATGGAAAGGTAGATAAAGTTCAGTGAAGTTGCATTTAAATACTTCAATTAATAAAATCAAATATTTATTGAAACTGTTCTATTCTCAAACAAGTCAATATCCTCCAAGTTTAAAGGTATATTACAAAATTGCCAAGAGGAAATATTACCAATAAAAGAAGAATAAGAAAAGGAATCTTTGACATCCCTAATATTTACAACACCAACATAGTTCCGAGGTTTTATATAATGTTGACTTTTGTGTGTTAAAGGATAACAATGAAGTTTATTAAATTATTTTTACCTAACGGTAAATGCTATAAATATTTTCTTACAATACTATAAGTTTAATCAGCATTTATTTTGAAGTAAATTTAAAAGTTAAATGGAGAAACTAAAAAGATAATTGTTTAATCTACTTTGCACTTTTCAGTTTATCACAGCACCAATACTTTGCAAGGAAATATATGCCCCTCATCTTACAATCAATATTTTGATATAGATATTTTTTCACTAAGTAATACTACAAGCGCTTGCTCAGTGTATCTTAGTATTGGTTTTCACTGCTAAGTTTGATCAACGGTTGACTTTGCAGATGATGTTATGTTTTCATTCCTTGAAAAAGAACAAAAGTATTATTCACATTATAATTGAGAATTTATATTTGTATGTCCTTTGATTTTATATTTCTGGTGAAAGTATACATATCCATCTTAAAGAAATATAAATCAATCATGCTTTATCTGGTTAAATTATACGTGCCACTGTAGTATTATTACTCTTTTATGGGTTATTTGTGGTTTTATGTCTTCAAAAACTCATCGAAAATTAAAATATCAAAATAAAACTATTCAGTGCAATATCTTGAAATTTGTTTTGGTCATTGTTTCTCTGAAAAGTTAGGATTTGTTGGCAAACTGAACATCCGTCTTTGTTTTGAACTTTGAATACTCTACTCTATAATTATAAACATATCACCCGATTTTATCTCCACTGAGAAATGAAGTGGAGCGCAGTCAGTATGAAAGAGACACGAAATATTAGGAATAAGTCTTGTCTACAAATTAAAAGGCATCCTGAACCTGAGAAGGCAGTGTGCCAAGATGCAGTTAAATATTTCACAGACTGTGACAACCATAATCATGATAGTTATGTGACTGCCCATTTACTTTGATGTTTTTGATTAGTTCACAAGTGTTTAATTCTTTAACTTATTGTTTATGAAAAATGACTCATCCATCTTATAGTATTCAACTTTGAAAGAGTAGTTAGGAACTCTGGAGCATGTCAAAGTTATATAATTCCATATAATGTTGTGGTCCAAATCAAAACACAAGAGTTACGTGAAGCTTTGTCAAAGAGAGTGTCGACTTTATCTAATTTACTAACTCAGTAGGGTGACCTCAGGTCTCATTAAGCTTATGCCAATTTTCCTCACGTGGCTTAATTGCATCATTTCCCTATGATGCCTTCATTTTGCAAATCTTGAAACTAATATAAATATTTAAACATTGCAGAAAACCTGAGTGGTTGTGGAATCTTTTTAACAATAGTGCCTAAATCAACTATTAACAACCAAATAAAGAATATTTAGTAGTTTCTTTAGAATTATTGGTTACGGGGCTGGGGATTTAGCTCAGTGGCATAAGCACCTGCCTTGCAAGCAGGCGGTCATGAGTTAAATTTCTGGTACCAATAAAAAACAAAGAATAATTGGTTACAGAATGGATTTATAAAAACAAAAGGAAATATATTATGATGCAAATACAAAGCAATATGAACAAAAAAGCCGGGATTGAGATAAGCACATGGAAATCAGAGAGAAGTAAATAAATTCCAACTTTCTATGTCTTCACATGGCTATTTCTAATAAACATTGAAAAAACAAGAAGAACAGTCAGAACAAATCGAGAAGCTCCAGTGAGAATGGAGGTCACATGTGCATTGTCAGAAGTGTAAAGACAGGAAGAAATTGACTGGAGGGCACAAATAAAGAGGTAGATGCAACCTGCACTCAGTAGGATTTTGAATAGAAGCAATTATAGGGGGGAGTTTAGGATCTGAAATAAAAGCTGAACTGCTACACTGATAAGCCTGCATTTGAGAAAGAATGCATGCTCTCAAAACCTGAAATTAATTGTTATGTATTTTACCATCCAAACGCTCTCAGCCTGTTGGTAAACCTACAATATTGCAAAGTTTATTCTGAATAACATTTTAGAAATCGACCTGTGGCTTTACTTTTCTGAGTCCATGGACAAAGCGCCCAACAGACTATTATAAACCTTTATTCAAATTGTTCACATACATTCGGATTATAAGCATTTTCTTCAGTTCTCACCTCCTAAATAAGCTCGTTTTTTGAAAACATGGATTTAACATTTGTGGATTGAAATCACACATTTGGACTTAGCTGGATATGGAGCAATCAATTCATGAGATAACAGAAGAGAGGAAATGCTCAGTTATAAACAGATATATCAAATGCAGATGATGTAATATTCTCGATAATGAACCATTTTATATGGAGTTTATAATGTGTATACTTTGAAGAGTCAGCCGTTTCTTGTCATAAAAGCCAAACATTAAGTTCAAGGACATCTGCATAGAATGTTGAGTAAGCTGCAGTAATTTTAAGAGGAATGAGTGCCTCTCGTGCCAAGAGATAGCAGATTAATGAGTTGTAACATGAAAGGTAGCACCTAGAGTGACACAGGAGGAGAATATGTGTATGACTTATCCTGTGCTCCAACAACCATATATAAGCACTTCTCTTCCCATACTGACATTCAAATTCAGCATTTGGCTTTGACCAGAAAACCAGACTCACCTCCTCCGACACCATGAGCCACCTCAGCAAGTATTATGGAGGCCTGCGCTATAGCTATGGAGGCTTCAATGGCCTAAGACATGGCTATGGAGGCTTTGGTGGCCTGGGCTTTGGCCAAGGCTGTGGGTGCGGCAGCTTCCACAGACTGGGCTATGGCAGTGGCTACGGAGGTTACGGGTTTGGTTCTGGCTTTGGAAACTTTGGATTTGGCTTCCGCCACCCAGTGTACTATGGAGGACACGGATTCTCCAGATTCTATTGAAATCTACTCTGGAAAACCAATATGTGAAGCCAAAAGAAGATGATTCAACCTAACTATAATAATTAAATGAATTACACTTACCTAGACCCAGAAGAGATGAAAAAGTTCTACAATCTAATCTGAATATTTATCAATTTAAAATTTATATCATAGAATTCCCTGTTCCTGTCTATATTTTCTTAAATGTAGCATTTCTTCAGCTTTCCTTACAATAAATTATCATAAATTTAAACAGCATGCTTGGTTTCCTTTTTTATCTTTCTTGTTAATGTCTTGATAAATTTGGATTTGGATGAAGTTTGAATAATATATTTGACAAGATTTTTCAAGACTTTTACCAATGCCATCCTGGCTAGCACAGAAGTTTTAAAATGTGAAATAATTCACTAAAAATTAAAAATGGCATGAATAATGCGATCCAGGTTGGATCCCAGCTTTAATGAACCCTGGGTACCTTCATCCTACTCCATATCTACTACCCTTCTACCTACTGACCAGTGCAGAATCTTGCAGGTTCTGGTCGTGTGTTTCTCTGAAGCACTAGGTTATCTTGGGAAATTGATCATTTCTGTTAATTTTAATTCTTGAATATTCTATTATAGAATCGAGCTTGTCTGTTTCAAATTTAGCTGTAGCTATATAAATACAAGTTGCAAATAATGGCAAATATAACTTATTTTTTAAAACATCATAATGCATTTGGGAACTTAGATTTACTTACTGAACATATGAATGGATTTTCTGAGCAGGAGAGGATTACAAAATGTTTCACTCAGCTGAGTGAGCATAGTTCTAAAAGAATGGACCTAAATAGGTAAAGCTCAGCATCTCCAGTGGGGGACTATATTGTTTAGTTTGACTGAGCAAATTGGAATTTAGATGAAAATACTTTTCTTCCCTGGTTGATAAACTGCACCACTGTCTGAAGAAACGTGAGTATATTTAAAGTGAAGTGATCAGTGTGATTATCTGAAGTCAGTATTGACACTTATAGTACAATTCAGTTGTATTATATTATTGTAGCATTGATTATTGGATTACGTTTATTAAAAGGTCAGATCTGGAACACATTTACATCTAAGGAATTGCTGTCACTTTTTTATGTGAGAATGGATCATAGCATCTCCAAAACCAGAAAATGTCTGGTGCAATACTTGGGGAGAGTAACATAAATACATCTATGTGATTTGTGATTTTATAGTTCCAATTGATTTTATAAGAATTACATCTCCAAATTAATAACTATTTTAATTTAGGATGCAAAATAAATCAAGGCAGGTTTTGTAGAAACTAGAGAAAGACATAAAGTATAATATGTGAAGTATCCAACGTTTCTTAATTAGGGCAAAGAAACATTAAACATAAACAATGTTAATCCACTGAATTCCATTATTTCAAGAAACTTTTCATAATAGAAACCCCTTTAAAGCTAGAAAATAAGTCATATAGTGGGAATAAATATTTCTGAAAGAGAGAGATAAAAAAAATACCTGTGGGTAAAAAACTCCTGCAACATAATGCCATAATATTAAAAACCCATCTAAAATGGAGAAAATGTTTCAACAAGCATTTATAAGAGGTCAAAAGTGTCCTAATAATCATGCCAAGTATTACTTATTATCAAGTAAACCTTGTACTAAAGAAATACTCAGTCATTGCTGGATAGAAGTAAAGACATGCTCTATGCCAAAACTACACTGCCCACGGTGTTGTGTAATATGTTTATGAAGAATTCTGTGTAGGGTACAGCATGTTCAAATTTCATAGACACAGAAATTTCTTTCGTATAAAAGTGATACCAAGCACTAGAAAAATATGTAAGCTACAATGTCCACAGTATAGTCAATCTAAAATTACTGCAAAATGTCTATCACTGTCAAAGCTATGGGGCAATTAGGAGTTTCTTATGGATAGAACCGAAAATTTTAAAAAATTTGGAAAATAATTTACAAGATCTACTGCAGTTGGTGTTAAAAGGTAGGAATGTGATTGCATTTAGGGAATTATGTGAACCAAAAAGAAGCAATAGAAATATTTGGGATTAGGTATGCTGAGGGTTGATGCAATAAGCTCACCCTCTTGTTTACGGGGGATCCATTCGAACTCTACCTCAAGAGGGTGCCTAAGATCCCAGATAATAATAAATTCTACATATGATGCATTTCCCTATACTTATGTAAGTATGACAAATGTTATGTTATACAAAAATAAGAGATTAACAGTGTGATAGAATAATCTTAAGTCATACTGTAATAAAATTATGTAATTGTAGTCTTTCTTGACTCATTCACTTTATGTGCTTATCCTTCCCTTTATAATGATGACAGATGGCACGTTGCTTACACAATAAGGTGAGGTGAATGGCACTGGCGTGGTGCTGGAACCCTAGCTATGCAAGACTCAAGTAAGCACAACTCTCTGATTCTATGCCAGTTGTTTTCCACCTGAGACTGCTAAATAACTAATGGGTGAGTAGAATACCAAGATGGAGAATGGCATGATTCCTGTTCTAGGTGGATAGGAACTGGTTGGAGTGAGATTTCATCATGCCCTCTCAAATGAAGCCCAATTTAAAACTTGTGAACTATTTATGGAAATTTCCATTTATAATATTGGCCTAGGGCTGTTCTCAGGTAACTCAAAAAGTGAAAGCTGAAGTGCAGATAAGGGGAGATAATTGTATACGAAATATCACCTAAGGTTACACTCAGATTTATAGTCCAGTGTAATAAAATGCGTGTTATCAGTTCCCCTAAGGTCAGGTGCTACTTGAGTTCATTTTTTAAAACCTCTTATAATTTATGTACATTCAGCAAATTGACCCGAGCTTTTGAGAGGCGTGATGCTTACCTTTAAATGCCTTTGAATTTATTCACCCACTCAACATTTATTCATCGTTTTGCTGCTGTCCTGTAGTCATGGCAGAAAGAAACCAAACCAGCTCTAAAATTGGACCACTTGAAAATTGCTTGTAAAACTGAAAAAACTTACTGCACTTTTAATTGTTATGATTGGACTTTAATCTTGAACAATAATAAACTCTTTTGTCATGTCAAAGTAGTCAATTTTCAATTCTGTAAAATAAAAAGATGTAGTTATAATGATAAATATTCCAAAATAATAGAAAAATTATTGCTATATTTGACATTTTTCTCTGACATTCTCTACAAGAATGTACAACATTCTCTACAATAATACCCACAACTTTTCAAATGATTTCTTCCCTTCATGAGACGTAAGATGGCTTTGAAAGGATATGACAAACAGAAATGTTGAATGTAATCAAGTTCCTGAATTTAATAACTGAAGTTTGACAATCCAAGACAAGGTAGAAATAAAGATGTACTTAGTTTCAAACAACACTGCCAATTACTCTGTGTAATAACCTTTATGAAGAATTCTGTTTAGAGTATACACAGAAATTTCTTCTTCTAAACGTGTTGCAATGCATTTCAGGGACCCTATGCCTAGAAAGAAATATAAGCTCAGACACTGAAAGGAATGGAAGGGCTTCTTCATGAATCAGGATTGTAACAATAAGTGTAACATGTGGAATGAGACTAACATTAAGTGGCAAGTTTTCAACCTCTCGATGTTTCCGGGTACATAAGCATGTGGGTACAGATGCTGCCTTGAACAGCAAAATAAATCAACTCTTGACACCAGGAGCCACTCTAGTAACTACTATGGAGTCCTGGGTTGTGACTGTGGGGACTTTGGTGGCCTAAGCTATGGCAATGGCTGTGGATGTGGCAGCTTGCATAGCCTGGTTCTGGCCATGGCTGTGTCTACAGAGGCTATGGATACAGCTCGAGGTAAGGAGGCTACAGATATGGTTGCCACCATGCATTATGCTGTAGAGTATACAGATCTCCTGGATTCTACTGCATTGCTGCCCTGATCCCAGCATTTAAAATTATAAAGAGACTTCCAGTGCTAGCTTCTTTCACTGGAGAATTGAGATCACACAGTTTGTCAATTTATATCCATATCTCTGCCACAATCCTGTTATCCCCTAATTTGCTTCTAAACTAGTGGATTATAGGTTCAATAAAACATTCAAATTTAAAGTATAATGTATTTTTTATTTTATTCACGAAACTCAACTATGTTTAAGTAATGATGGACATTCCTTTCCATTCTTAGTGAGGGAAGCTATTGCCTTGATAGAAAAATCTATTTTATTTTACACTAATATTCATATGGATACATGATATCTTTAGAAATTGAAATAGAAGAGGATCAAGGTATTTCATAATTTGACACATATTTCTTATTTTCTTAGATAATATTGTATTTAGTTCAACGGCAGAGAGCAATTATCAATTTAACATGTGTATATATTTATATCAGGTGTGCCATTTTATTTAGTCAGTTCACATTTGTGAATTCAATCCAAAAACATGGAGAAACTTCCATGCAGGACTTTTTTTTATTTTAAGAATAAGGAAATGTAATAGATCACATCACCTCAATAGGCATATTATAAAATAAACCACATCTCATAACTTCCATATTTGTACATTTTCATCCTGTTATACTCTTGTGCATATAACTTTAGTTGATGATTTTATAAAGCAGTCAGTCAACAAATTATAAGAGCAGTTAACTAATTTTGTCTTGTATGAGGTTGACTTACCACCATTCAGCTGGAGTTGTACAGTTAGTTTTCTTACTTTCTTACTTAATCTCCCAGGCAGGGTATGACATTCTATTTCACCATCATTATCATCATCATATTGATGATTTGGCAATCGAATAGGCAAAATACACACAAAAACTCTATTGCAAATTCTTTTTTCACCTTAGGCTGATGACAAACACCATAACATCCAAAAATCTTTCTAATATAGCTCAATTTTAGTTAAATCACTCCCCTGATGAAAAGAGAGAAAACGTAGTTTCTTATTGATATAGTAAAAGGACATAAACAAATACCAATATTCTTCCTAAATGAATATTCTATGGGCAAGTAATGGTATAAAATTTAAAATTTTGTAACAACAAAAGCAGCTAATACGTTTAATTCAATCACACTTTAGCATCCTAAAGTGCTGAAATAGAGCACACATTAAATGGCAGCACACATTTCACCTGACAGTGTGTGTTAAGCACAGAAGCAGAAAGAACTGAAAGATGTACATGAATCCCAGCGGCAAACTGAGGCGCAGGACCAGAGTCCAGGTCTCCTGAACCCATGCGGCCCTGCACAGCTTCTTTCCTGCTG